GCTACTACTTGATGTCGCGATTTGTTCTGACGAGTTCTTCTGAAAAAGAAAGCAACTTTAGATTCAGTCAATCTCAGTCCCAACTACGAGTGGTAAACACCCCCTGATATTTTTTGAAAACTTGAAAAAGACGTAAGGGGGGACCCTTATGTAATATACACCTACTGATATTTTTTGAAAAATTGAGACAAAACACTAAAGGGGGGACCCTTATGAAAATTTTCACCCCCTGATATTTTTGGAAAAAATGCAAAAAGCACATAAGGGGGGACCCTTATATGATTTTTACACCCACTGATATTTCGTCGGCCAAATTTTCAGTATCAGGGCCTGAGTCAAACTATGTAAATTCTGAGAAGAAACCAATTATTACCATGTTTTTCTTCGTGATCACTTCAGCGAACAGTCTGACACACCGTGCAACAGTTCAGGAAATAAGTCCGGAGGGAAACTTGATACCGTATTTCTTCCAATAGAAACTCATTCAACTCGTCAATTTTAAGCTCATCTCGGGCCGCCTGACTATGAGAGATATCGAAAGCTTGTCAACTGATAAAATATTGGTGATAATAAGAAAAATTATCAGTTGACAAATGTTTGATATCTTTTCGAAGGAATCAAGATAATTGAGCTCAAATTCGATCCCTTGGGTAGGGCTTTTCATATCTTGAAATTCAGAATTTTCTAACAATAAAACACAAAATTTTCCCACATTTCGACAAATCTAGATGTCCCCTAGCCTTCCACCTTTTCATCCCAAATGCACCCAACCACAAAAATGCTGTTGTTCGTTGAATAATATAATGTTTCAACTAGCAGTGTTTTTGTTGTCTGTCAGACACAACATTTGCCTTTCTCACTGTTCACACCATCTCTGTTTGAATGTTTTTGTTGTGGTGTTCGAAAACAAGCTTCTCTCAAGGACAACTGAAAAATAGAGAGGGGGGATTCAAATGGGCACCTTTAGTGACCAGACGGTGGCCAGGCACCGACGGGTACTTGGAAACGGGTTTTAGGGATGTTAAAGGGATGAGAAAAGGGAATGAAGAAGATCTGGAGAAGGAAGAATTAGTTTTGAATTTCTTAATAACTTTATGGAATTTTTACTGTGTGTTATTCAAAAACCAGCCGGGTTGCAGCGCCTTGCTGCTGCGCCTACGGCTATCTGTCAACTTTGAGCCTATATATCTCATCCCCTGTAAAATATATCAACAAATGGTCAACTAATAAAATGTTTACCATAATATCAGAAACATTTTGTTAGTTTATTGCTTTTTGATATCTTTCACAAAAGCCGAGATATATGGGCTCAAAGTTGACTGTTCGGACCTACCTGCCGTGTGTATTTTTGTTGCCCCGCTCTTTAATTTTTTAAAGACTCATTTGAAAACTAATTCTTGATCCTTGAAATTGAGATGAGTTATTTTTCGAATATTGGTTCAGACCTACCAGACTCAAAAAGTTTACGAAATATCAGGAAAAGGACGAAAAAGAGACACTTGTGTTCATTTATTTATTGAAAGAATGATGATGTCTCGTTAATACTTTAGGATGTCCCATCGGAATTCGATCGTCTAGTTCATCCACGCTTTTTCAACAATCATGGCAAGTTTCGAAGAAAATTCTGTCCTTAACTTCATGACTGTCATTACCGTATTCCCTCTAATAGAAGCCCACCGAAACCGTCAATTTTAAGCTTAATTATCTCGATTCCTGTGAAAGATATCAAAACTTTTTCACCTGGTAAATCATCATATTATCATCAACACTATCAGTTGACTGATTTCTGATATCTTCTATAGAAACCGAGATAATTAAGCCCAAAGTTGAGGGCTTAGTTGGACTTCTATCAGATTAAATACGGTAACAGAGGTATGACAAAATCCATGTTCCTCATTTTTGTCACTAAATCTCAATATTAGATTTATGATCTTTTGATCATTTCTCCATTTTCCCATACACCTTGCGTAAGTAGAGATGCTAGACAGGTGCCACCTAGAGGGGCACCTGTCCATTTTTTTCCAAATCAAAACATATTGCGTGAGTTGGGTAATGTTTTGATCTACTTCTGACAAACAAAACAATTGGAAAATAACATAGACAGGTGTAGAATGTAGAAGTTACAGTATCCAGCGGGACGATCCACCCTCTCTTCCTGGTAGCTAACTTTGAAGCTCGGGCTCTCTCTCTCTCTCTCTCTCTCTCTCTCTCTCTTCCATTTTTTGCTTTTCATCCCTTTTCCAGCTACGGCCGAGGTAAAAATCCTTTTACGTCCTTCATATCCCTCCGGAAGCTTCAATTTCCTCTCCCCACTTCCCATATTCTCTTCCTATCAATAATAAAAAGTCCATCGTGAGAACCTTTCCAGTCTTGTCACTGCCTGGTAGACCACCATTCTAACTGTAAAACGACAAGAGGAACAATTTGGAAAAAAAGAATCAGAAACCGGGAAACGAAAAAAAACAAATAGAGAGGGACAGGGAAAGGAAATTGATAGCTGTGTTACTGGTGGTGGGGCAGAATGGCACCGGATGATACGTGCGGAAAAATATATGAACGGGACGGGGGGAAAGGCAAGAAAAAAAATTCGGAGATGGGCATATAATATTTTTTATCTTTTATTTTGTTCTTCACTTACCATTTGAGAACTGAATCTTGACGTCGGCTTGTAACTTCAGGAGCGGGTCCATCCCTTTGGACATATATTGGCCTGCTTCTGGTCGCAACTTGCAGGAGGAGAACAATTCGTCCCCGCTTTCTGCTCTCGATAAGGAGCTTTTTGTTTGAGAAACGTGTCCCGCTTCGAAAACTTTTTGAATCTTTTTTGTAAGTTTCATCTTTTTCCTGAACTCGGGAAAACTTTTCGGTATCAGTATTACCCTGCGGACCCGTCACTAGGATCGCTGCTTTACCCTCACAACCATATTCAGATTTCTATAGAAACTCTGGACAGCTCAAAGGGTTGTGAACTTACAATTAGGTTGGAGTTTCCGTTCGAGACCTATATCATTCGAAAGCTGCGGACACGTCCTTTCCGAATCTGTTTTTTGTTTTTGCTGCGGACCTACCAGTTTCGAGAAAAATAAGTTTTAAATTTACCATTTTTAGACCACTGAGTTTTAGACCACTGAGCCATTCAATCGACATTTTCTACTTTTTCAATTGTATTTAAGTATTTAGTGTTCACACGATCCAAAATTTCCATTTTAGTTGAAGAAATCAGTAGAAAATCCAGAG